TTTTAGTGACATGTAATATCTATTACAGTACCAGTAAGAGGACCCCAAAGCTCCTAATAAGAGGACCTTAAAGTTCTTTAATGGGAGTCCTAGTGTGGCACCGTGGATTAATGCACCAGACTGCAAAGCCCTTTGAACTGCAAGGTCAGGTCGGCAGTTCAAGTTCACCAGCTCCTCCTCCTCCTAGAAAAAACCCTTTACAGGGCTGCTATGGGTCGGAACCGACTCAACAACACTTAACAACAACAACAAAGCTCCTAATGGAGTCCTGGTGTGGTGCTTTGGGTTAATGTACCAGACAACAAAGCCATTTGAACTGCAAGGTCGGCGGTTCAAGCTCACCAGCCACTCCTTGAAAACCCTATACAGGGTCCCTATGGGTCAGAACTGACTCAATGACACTTAACAACAACAACAAAGCTCCAAATGCCCACCAAAAACTTGGGGGTGGGGAGAGGGATGGAGAGGAGGGGCTTTTACTGAATACAGTGCTTGCTTGGCAATGGGGCAGAGCAACCTGAAACGGATGACCAGCTGGAATGTATGCATGGGAGGTGGGGGCGGGTATAAAATGTTGAGGGGAGAAGGGCACCCCCACCCACTCTTGTTCTCAGGAAACTTTATCAAACCCTTTCCAGTCCTCTCCTTCTCCCCTCTCCCACCCCAGTGGGGTCTAGATCACTGGGGAAGGATTTAGCCAGCATTTCAGTAGTGATCATAAACTGCACCAAATACTGGGTTTGCAGCTTCCTAATTATGTTAAATGGACAAGGGCAGACAAGGCAGACTTTAAATTCTCTTATCCCTGGTGATCCCAAACTGAGTTTTATCACTGGGGCGAATGGATGTTCCCTAGAGCTGAACTGGGCTCTCTGTGGCCCCGGGAATTGGGCTTACTCAGTTATTTTCATATGCAGTTTTGTTTTGTTTTGCTTTGTTTAATTGGGAGAAAAGTGTTGATTCAGAAGAACCACTGAATACCTGTCACTCAAAATGCCCCGACATGGATCCTTCCAGTGCCAAGCTGTGTAAATACTGGCCAGAGATGCCCCAGGCCAGAGGCCCTCCAGCCTGGCACTGAGAAGAGAGCCACGACAGCACCCAGAACTGCTTTCCTCCATTGAGCCAAAGGACACTTTGAAATGATATGTTTGTTCGGCTTTTACTGCCGCATTTTTAAGAAAGAATTGATACACTAGATGAATAGATTATGAGTAAATAAAAAGAAGCTGTCAGTCTCTTTGAAGGTTGTGTTTAAAGGGACTTGCCAAGTTGGGACAGAAGAGTGACAAGATAGAGACCCTGGTGTTCTCCATGCTCTGCCCAGATCTTCCGCTTCATCTGCACCACACTAAAGGATGTGTTGAAGCATTGAATCACACACACACACACACACACACACAAAGTAGCACACAAAATAAAAGGTGCCACATTACAATGATTATAGTGTTTGAACTACAGATTGCGGTATTACCAAACCCAACTGAAACAGGTCTGTACAAGCCAAAGAGAACTGTATAACACTTTTACAATTTAGAATTAAGTTGAAATCTGCTTAACATTTGACTTTCTAATGAGTGTAATGAGATTACATGCCTGATGGAAACAAGTGTGCAAAAGCCACTTTAGTGTTTAATGAGACCGTAATACGGTCATGCAATGGATGAAGCACTGGGCTGCTAACCAAAAGGTCCGCTGTTCGAATTCAGCCGGAGAAAGATGTGGTAGTTTGCGTCCCTAAAGATGAACAGCCTTGGAAACCCTATGGGGCAGTTCTACGCTATACTATAGGGCCACTATGAGTCGGATTTTAAATACGGAACAGAATCAAAAAAATTTTTCTAGTTCTCAAATTCTGTCTCCAGTGGGAGATCTTCATAGCGGGAGGGGCAGTAAAAGACTTATAGTCTGAAAGGGGTGACAGGGTCCATGGCCAAGACCTCCCAGGAGCTTCGTGACCTCGAATCTCTGAGAGTCTGGCCAGGCTGCGCTGCAGTGTCGGGCCTGGCCTCGCTTTAATTGTTCTTGGAAGATGTCCATGGCACCCGCGGCGCGCGGGGCACCCCTCAGTGGGTCTGAAACTATGTTAAAACAATTAGCATGGAACCAACATATTGTCCTTCGGCAAAACCGCGCGTGTTGAGGGCGATTCGGACTTGCAACTTGGCTGACCATGCTTCTGTCCTGCCTTGAAGTAGCTAGCGCCTTACCTTGGTCAGTTCTGCGACAGGCAGGAACCCACCGGTTCCTTGAGAAAGTGTGCGTTGGAGCGCGCTCTGGACCTCGTTGTTAGCGGCGGTGCGCCCGGGTTCTGGCGGGCAGGCGAGGTCGCCGGAAGAGTCTGGGGAGCCAAGCCAATTCCGCAGTAGGAGCCAGACAGGAGCCCAGGTCTACTGGACTTTCTAATTGAGAGGTCCCGGCCGCGACCTTATGCTTTTCCCCCTTGCTAGGGGGCGACCTTGAGCTCTCCACCTAGGCTCACCTAGTCACGAAGGAGAGGAGATTCTATTGGAAACTAGAAGACAGTTTTAGAAAGAACCCAGTTGCAGAGTTATAGGCGGAGTGGGAGAGCTGTTTCACGTTTTATCTAAAAGACCCTGGACTTTTCTGGGAGTCATCAGAGTGGTTTCTCCACTGCAGCGCTGTCCTTGGGGAGACATCCATCTGAGCTTCAGGTACCTGATGCCGCAAATCCAGAAGGGATGGGTCACTGGGAAAGCTCATGAGCAACCCTTCCTCCTTAGTCTGAGGAAACAGAAAGGCCCCATTCCCTTCACCAGCCCAGATCCCACCAGATAAAGCGCTTTCACTTCATACACTAGGTAAACGCTGAGTCAAGTGACCTTAGGTCATCAAACAGGGTGTAGCCTTGGCTTTCTCCTCTAGAAAATGGGAATAATAAATACTTCAGGATCTCCTTGCCATGTGGAGTGTTCGGAGTGTAGGGTGAAAATACAGGCAGGAGTCTTTAGACACAAATGGAGGGCACTAGGAGTCTTAGTGTGGCGCTGGTGGATAAGCACTGGACCACAAGGTCAGTTTGAACTGCAAGGTCGGTGGTTCCTACCAGAACCAGCCGCTCCTCAGAAACTCTAAACAGGGTAGCTTATGAGTCAGGATGGACTCAATGGCACTGAACAAGTTGAGTTGAGGCCTAGACCTCTCACTTGCCTCCTTTTCAGTCTAAAACTAATTGAAACTGGAGGCTTAATCATTTAATTTTTATAAAGTAAGTCAATTCATTATAAAGATGCTGTTACCCCATCATGTATTAAACAAATACGTTTTAGAAAAAAACGTGTAAATAGCATTTATTAACAACACTCAGTATCATATCTGACAATAAATTAGCATGACATTTTTCTGGCCAGGGTTCTTGCAACAAAGCAGAGTTCTGCCAAAGGTGCTGTGGGAACCATAGACTATTGCATATTTTTAGAAAATCAGGATAAATTATATAAATTATATATTTAAACACATAATCTATTTCATTAACTCACCAGGATAATAAATAGATAAATAACAGTTGATTGCCTTTAAAAAGTTGTTTCTTAAATTACATTTTCATTATAGATATTTACATGTACAATATGCACAGACACATAACCAGTTCCTTAGCCAAGTCCGGGACTTATCAAGACACAAGCTCAAAGGGCGGTTCGTTTTCTATGTTGTTGAAGGAAGATTTGCTGTTGAGTTTTCGGGGATCCTCTGGGGTCCACACTTTGGCTGTTCGGATAATATTTTGTTCTTTGAGCTGTTTTTCATCTGTCCATGAGAGCGAGTGTCCGGCTAGGGGAGGGAGGCCATAATCCGGGTCGCTGGGGGAGGGGGACCCTGGGAAGAAGGGGAGAAGAGAAAATAGACTGTGAATGTCCACCCACATTCTCAGCAGCCCCATCTGGTCCCTTGGGGTCCCCTCTGGGGTACCTCAACTGAACAGGTTTATTAAACTTATGCCTTCACCCACCCTTCTTCCTCGACCCTTCCAGCGCCTAGTGCTCCATGCCGGGAACCGCCAACGTTGCAAGTCTGGCGGGCGCGCGGCCTCCGAGCCATGCTCAAAGTGGCTGAAAAACCCGAGAAACGGGAGCTTGCGCTCAAGTTTGCCCTTGTACACGGACGATCTATCGGTCCGTCGGTTGACTGGTCAGTCTTTTCGCTCAGTCCCTTGGGGCCTTCCCCTGACCGTCCCTGCCTCCCTGAGCTAAGCTAAGGAGACACTTACGTGTCCCCCGATGGCAGATGATGACCTTCTGGGCCTGGCTGCCCGGGCTATCCCCGCCCAGGCGCCCGCCACCTCCGGGCCCCCCGCAACCGCCCGCGCCGCCGCCACGCAGAGGCAGGTCGGCCTGCACCAGCTCGCTGAGGAAGTTGATGTAGCCGATGGCCAGACGCAGTGTGTCCACCTTGGAGAGGCGCTTCTCGTAGGGCAGCGTGGGGATGTGCGAGCGAAGCCCTTCGAAGGCGTCGTTGATGGACTGCATGCGCCGCCGCTCGCGCACGTTGGCCGCTTGGCGCAGCTGCTGCAGCTCAGCCTCGGAGCGCACTCGCCGCCGGCGGCGCGCGGCCGCCGCCCCGCTCAGACCACGCAGTCTGGCCGCTGGGGACAGCACGGCCGCCCCGGCACAAGGGTAGGCCAGGCACGAGGGCGGGGAGCCTGGCGAGTAGGGGAAGCCGCCAAGGGGCGCCCCCGCCTCACAGCAGTAGCCCCCGCCGTCCTCCAGCTCCCCCGAGCCCCCAGAGGGCGGCGGGGCGAGCGCGTGCTGGGCCCCCGAGGGCGCGGACTGCAGGAGCAGGCACGCCCCGTCGTGGTAGCAGTACTCGTGCAGCTGGTGGCTGAGGAACTCCACCTCGGCCTGCTCGTCCGCCAACAACTCCTCTCCATCCTCCAGAGGGTCCCGAGAGGACTGATCCGTGAAGAAGTCCTCCTCGTCGAAGTAGGGAGACGGGAAGGTGTCCAGGCCTCCGGGGAAGTGTTCTAGCAGCACCGCTTCCATGCTTTCCGCCGTCGTGGGTCAGAGATTCTGAATGCCTCAGGTAATTCTTTTTTTGAAATATACTTTTGCAGTTCTTGCTTTTCTAGCACACGCCTGCCCCCTCCCTCCCGGATCGTGAGCTGGAGGGAGTGAGGTCGGCCCTCCTGGCTCCCCGCCCCGGGCCCTATGGGGTGTGCCAGCAGACACTGCGCTCTGCCCCACGCCTGCGCTGCGTTGGGGAGGGTTGTTGCTGACTTGCTGGAGCGAAGGGCCGGCACGCGAGGATTCTTATAACTACATCCACAGGCGCGTGCCAGGGACCCGCTGCGCCAGCCAATCACAGTGTGTGGGGTGCTGGCGGGGGGAGGAAGCGAGGCGGGCGGTGGGGGGTGCTTTCCTCCTTTCGGGAGCTCCCGGGGAGAAAAGGCGGGGCCCGCCCAGCTCAGAGGTTCCTTCTTCTGGTCCTCCCTTCCCACCCTTCTACCGTCTGCTGTGTACCTGCCCCTGGTGCGGCTCTGGGGCACCTGCGTCCTGCGGGGGCAGTCGCCAGCCCGCGCTCGCTGCGGAAGGCGACCCTGTGCCTGGGTCTGGGCCAGCTGAGCGCATTGTTTACGGTGCACCCACTAAAAGTTTTAGGGATGCGCTTTGGTAACCTCAGTTGATCACCAGCGGAGCTCTCTATTCCTTTGGGTTGGCGCAGAAATAACCCGCATGCCGAGTGGCTCACAGCTCAACTGCAATAAACGGCCGTTTGGTGCATTTCGCCATCCCCAGTGCCCCTCGCGCGCGGGGTTGGATTTCTTTTGGGTATTCTATCCCGTCACTGGATCTTTTAAGTTTGCAGAGTATGTGCCAGTGGTGCAGCTCTGTAGGTGTTCCGGACGCAGCGCTGAGTCTAAGGGCGTGCCTGCAGGATGCCGTTCAGAAGCCAGACCCTGGTGCCAGGTCCCTGCCCCAAAGAAACGTTGCTCCTTTACTCCGAAAAGAAATGGGGAGACGGGAGGGGCTGCCTCTGAGAGCAGCTCAGTGGGGCACATTTCTTCTGAGAGCAAATCAAAACCCTAGGGGTTCTAAGCAATAAAACTGGCTACAAAAGAAGTCAATTGAATCTTCTGCTCCGAAGCAGTCCGGTGGGAGGACATTGAAGTTAAAGGGCAGAATGTGAACCGTTTTCAAAGCCTTAGTCTCTCACCTTTCTGACTGGCCACCGGGACAATCCTGAATGCTTTTTCCTTCCTCGACCTCTTTATTTAAAAAAGAAATACAAAAACGTATGTTCTTTGCCCCGTGATACACTAGATCATAGACTGCAATGCAACATGAATTCTTCAGTTTAAGGGCAACAAAGAAACACTTTCAAGGTCAAACACTTGTTAGAAGCAAAGCTACAGCTCCCACCCCAGGATAGTTAAGTGCTTATTCCTTCAACAGGAGATACATTTCTCTAGTAGCTACTTCCTTTTTCAGACACTTATCCCACAGAGGGTCTGTTGGGTATTCAGACTTTCCTCAAAATCCTGATCCATGACTCTTTAAGAACAATGATTTAAGCCCTTTTTTTTGTTTTGTTTTAGATATTACTCTGTATTTAGCTAAAGTCTGAACTCCTGGTGTGGCACTGTAGGATCAGCACTGGAGTGTGAACCACAAAGTTGGCAGTTCAAACCCACCAGCTGCTCCTTGAAAACACTATACAAGGTCCCTATGAGTCGGAATCTGCTCGTCTGCACTTAACAACAATGAGCTAAGACCAGAACACCAGCGCTCACTCTACCAGAAACAGTCAAGAACTACAGACAATTTTAACCCAAACACTTAACTGGTTTTTTCATCAGGTTCATCCTGTGTTAGTTTCTTAACCTGCACTTCCTTCACTAGAGTTCTGGTGTGAAGGCAGGACAATGTGCCAGGCTACAAAGTCAGTTTGAATGGCTAGGTTGGCTGTTCAAGCTAACCGGCCTCTCCTTGGAATACCTATTATACAGGGTTGCTATGAGTTGGAACTGACTCCACAGCAGGTAACTACAGCAAATGTTAGAGGGGCAAGGAGGATATGAGAGTTGATGAGGTAGTGATCATGATTTTTTAACCAATGTAATTTTAGCAATCAGTGTCCACACAAAAAATCATCTTATAGCTGCTTGATCCAAGTGAGCTAATGGGAAATCCACCACTGGTGGGAAATCTCTCTGTTTTATGAGGCTGGCTAAAGCTAGCATGGAAGTTCTGGGCAACTTCTAGGGTTTCATGGATGAGCATGGGGCAGAGAGAGAGACACACACACAGAGAGAAGGTACTTGTTTGAGCCTTAATTTTGTACCTTAGAAAATGGCTGTTTGCCTGCAGACTGGCCCCGTTGGGAAGCTAGGGGTCGGCCTGTAGACACTGACACTAGTTGAGTTCACACAGACACACACTCTGTTCTTAAGTAAGACATGATTATTCTTTTCTTTAGTAAAAAGAAGAAATCATTTTCTGCTAATAAAGGGGAATTTTCTCTGGGTCACTGAAGGTCACACAGTGTGGATGGCTGCTCTCTAACACTCATAACAATAAGTTGGATGATGAAAAGGCTTGGGACTGAGACTTGTCTTACCAGATATGGTGCCAGCTCTTATTCCAGCCCCCTCCCTCCACATTCCCCAGCTCCTCTGGGCAGTGGTGGCACCTGGAGAGGAACTAGGCAAGCAGTTCCGGGTACCTCATGGAGAGAAAGAGGCTTAGCTGGTAAGGCCAGGCTCTCTTTCCTCCCTCTGTCCTCAGGAAACAGAGGCCTTATAATGATTGGATTCATTATAACGAATCCCCAACGCATTATAAGAAAGCATCCCATTCCTCCAAAGTTGCCAGTGTTCGGGCACTTGTTTTCTAGTAGTACCAAATGCTGATGAGACCTCAAGATGTTTTCAAGACTTTCAACAGGAGCTAAGTGTCATCCTGTTGTCCTGGGTCTGGCAGACTCCCATATCTTTTTCTGAGCTCTTTGGATATCTAGTCATATCTCCCAGCTTTTAGATTCCTGGAGGACTTCTGGAAATCAATCTCTCTCTCTCTTTCCTCGCTCAGAGACCTGAATACTTATTCACTTGTTTCTCATCAAATCTCCAGAGCCTTTTCCTAGCTTCTAGGAACAATGGTTTGAGGGTTATAGAGCCCAGACCCTTGGTTCTTTCCCAGACTGAATTTGAGGCCATTAATGAAGACACTTGAGGACTAAAGTGCACTGGACCCAAGCCATGGTATTTTCAATCACCTCATATGCATGCAAAAGCTGGACAGTGAATAAGGAAGACCATAGAAGAATTGATGCCTTTGAGTTACGATGTTGGAGGAGAATATTGAAAGTGCCATAGGCTGCCAAAAGAAACAACAGATCTGTGTTGGAAGAAGCGCAGCCAGAGTGCTCCTTGGAGGCCAGGATGGCCAAACTTAGTCTCTCATACTTTGGACATATTGTTAGGAGGGACCATTTGCTGGAGACAGCTATCATGTTTGGTAAGGTGGAGGGTCAGAGAAAAAGAGGAAGACCCCCAGCGAGATGGATTAGCATCAGTGGGCTCAAGCGTGGCAACAATAGTGAAGTTGGCCCAGGATCAGGCAGTGTTTCGTTCTGTTGTGCATGAGGTTGCTGTGAGTCGGTAACAACCCGATGACACCTAACAACAACAACAATGAAGAAGGAGTCCTGGTGTGGTGCTGTGGGATAAAGCACTGGACTGCAAAGTCGGCTAAGACCACAAGGTTGGTGGTTCAAACTCACTAGCTGCTCCTTGGAAACCCTATACAGGGTCGCTATGAATCAAAACTGACTTGAAGAAAGGGGCCTCCAAGTTCTTAGTCCGTCAATTGCCTCATCTCCCATCCCCACAGTGCTCACCACTTGCCATGTGTCTTCCTTGCGGATCCTACACTCTACAGAAACCAGATGCATCTGTCTTGCTTTTATGGTGGCCCTCACTTCTCACATAGTTAGTGACTGGAGGCAGGTATTTGTGGGTGTGACTCATGGCCTGCTCTCCTCTCTACCTTGAAAGTTTGTTGTTGTTGTGTGCCGGTGGAGTGGGTTCCGTGGAGTGGGTTCCAACTCATAGCAACCCTGCACAGGGGTCCAAGGCTGTAAATAAATCTTTATGGGAGTAGAAAGCCTCATCTTTCTCCCATGGAACCGATGGTAGTTTGGAACTGCTGACCTTGTGGTTCACAGCCCGATTTGTAACCACTATGCTACCAGAGCTCCTTGAGAGTAGATTCATGTTATTTCCTCATGATCCAAACTGCCTCTTCCCTATTTCCTAAACATAGAGGTTAGGTGTCTTCATCTGTGTCAGTTTCTCCTTTATAATTTTCTCCCCCTCCTGTCATACCTTTTTTCTTCTCACTTGAGAGTTCAATAACTTCATCAATCCACCTTCTATCCCTATATCTAAGGAAAGGATTTGAAAATACAATCACAGGGTTAATACTGAAAAGGCTCTGAGACCCAGAAAAGTCTAGTGCCATCCCCAAGGTCACAAAACTAGTACTTCAGACCAAATCTACCTCAGCCAATAGGTTCCATTGCCTGCTGAGAGCAGACTCCAGCTCCACTTTGCATCTCCCCATCCCCAACTCACACTTACAAAGATGTGCAAAATAGTCAGCCCAAGCCCTTTCTAAGCTTGCCCAGATGACCTGTTACTGCCTTGCTGATCTCTATGCCGCATACACTTTCTTCACTGTAGATAGCACAGTACCTACTGATGTCCTGGCATGGTGCTGTGGGCTAATGCATCAGACTGCAAAGTCATTTGAACTGCAAGGTCATTGGTTCAAGCTCACCGGCTGCTCCTTGGAAACCCTATACAGGGCCACTATGGGTCGTAATCGACTTGACAACACTTAACAACAACAACAACTACTCATGTCAAGAAATGATAATCACTGAGGAAGGAATCACATGCAATTCCTAGAACAAGACAAAGTATGTGAAATTAAATACGGGACCCTGGGCTTTCTCTGATCCCCAAAGTCACACAATACAA